GCGTGCATCCATAACTCGATATACGCACGCTAAGCATGAAACAATTCTTAAATGTATATTTTTTTATGCTAACATCAACTACAGTTCGCCTGGTAAGTCCTACCAATTCGTCATCTTCTGGTCGTGTGGAAGTGCTGTACAGTGGTACATGGGGAACCATTTGTGATTACTCTTGGGACTTCCAGGACGCTAATGTCGTTTGTCGCCAGCTTAGGTATGATGGAGCTTTAACAGCGCTTAGATCTGCAGCATTTGGAAAAGGAACAGGTCCGATATGGCTGAAAATTTAGGAAATGAGAAATTGATATTGTAGTGCAGTCACCGAGGCTGGGGAGCTCACTACTGTAGGCATTCACAGGATACTGGAGTAGTGTGCCTCACAGTTAAAGTAGTGGTACTGCTACAAAGTAGATATTTTAGAGTAATCAAACTTTCCTTGGGTTTTTTTTTTTCATTTTCGCACCATACGAGGCCAGCAACGCGAACTCAAGCAAGTACAGGTGTAACTGCACCTTTTCAGAAATAAGTACTTCCAGTAAAATAACTTGCCTATTTTCCTTACATTTCATCGCTCCAGGAGATAAAATAAAATTACAGTTACGAGGATGGTGCTGGATAAGTAACTATCTCACAATCAAATCAATATTATGACGAACTGTTGCCATATACTACCACCTAACTTGTATCTTTTTTCTAATACCGAATACAGTTCGTTTGGTAAGTCCTACTAACTTTCCATCTTCTGGTCGCGTGGAAATGTTCCACAATCAAACATAGGGAACCATTTGTGACGACTCTTGGGACTTACAGGATGCTAATGTAGTCTGTCGCTAGCTTGGATACCATGAAGCCTTATCAGCACCTAAAGTTGCAGCATTTGCTCAAGGAACTGGTCCAGTATGGTTGGATAACGTTCAGTGTACAGGAAATGAGACATTGATATCGCACTGCAATCATCGAGGATGGACAAACCACTACTGTGCGCATGCTCAGAATGCTGGAGGGATGTGTCACCAATAGATAAGGTAGTAATAAACCTGCAGAGTTGATAATTAATAATTAATAAACAAACGTTTCTTTTTTCGCTCCTCGTCTAAGTGAGTTTGAGTAAACCCAGATACCTTTTCTCCAGGAGGAATTTTTGATCATGTCCAACTATTATTTCCTAGGAATTCCATTGCACTATCGCTTAAAATGTGTTAACAATTAAGACGTTTATTTTGGCTTAAAAACTATTTCACCATCGAAAAGACTTACTAGACTAACCTTTACATTGTACTACTGGCAAACATTCTCTTTTCTTTATTCTCGAATTGATAGCAGTTCACTAAGTGAGCCCTCCAAACTTGCCATCCTCTGGTCGTGTAGAGGTGTTCTACAATGGTACATGGGGAACAATTTGTGGTAACTTTTGGGATATCCAGGACGCTAATGTAGTATGTTGCCAGCTTGGGTATGATGGAGCTTTATCAGCGCTTGGATTTGCAGCATTTGGTCAAGGAACTGGTCCGATATGGCTGGATAACGTTCAATGTTTTGGAAATGAGAAATTGAAATCGCAGTGCAGTCACCGGGGATGGGGTGTCTATTACTATGACCATACCGCGGATGCTAGTGTCGTGTGTCAACTCCCAGGCAAGTTGCAAATACTTTTATACAATAGAAATTAAACCCCCTATCGTTCATGCTCTCTTTTTGAAATTTTTTTTTCCAATCGAAAGATGCCAGTAACGCATAGTCAAATTAGCATTGATTTTGTTGCGCCTTCCCAAACGGGAATTTCCAGTGATGCTAACTTCCGATTTTCTTTGCATCCCATCACTCCATGCGGGCCAATAAAATAACAATTACAAGGTTTGTGTCGACTAAATAACTAATGGTCATCAAAACAACTGATGTGACGAGGCCTGATCATGTAATACGTATTGGCTTATATCTTTATTTTCAAATTGAAGACAGTTCGTGTAGTAAGTCCTACTAAGTTGCCATCTTCTGGTCGTGTGGAAGTCCTACACAATGGTACATGGGGAGTAATGAATCTATCATTTAGAGTAACCTAGTTTTTTTTTCCTTTTTTATTTTGTATTCTACCGCATGGTGCAAGCAATAGTGTTGTTCATTTCCTATTTACTTTACAGTCTATCACTCAATGTGTTCAATTGCAATAACCAGGTGTAAGTTGGCCAAGTAGATATTTCATGATCAAAACTGTCCATTTCTCTAACCTTTACCATTAACTAATATCTAATGTATATTTTTTTCGTTCTAATATCAACAACAGTTCGCCTGGTAAGTCCTACCAATTCGGCATCTTCTGGTCGTGTGGAAGAGCTGTACAGTGGTACATGGGGAGCCATTTGTGATTACTCTTGGGACTTCCAGGACGCTAATGTAGTTTATCGGCAGCTTGGGTATGATAGAGGTTTATCAGCGCCTAGCTCAGGCTCCTTATATAAGTGATTTTTTTCATTTTAGAAATGTACCGTATAGTTTACGCGGGCTCAGTACAAGGCTAGATTTACCTCCTTTTAATCTTGAGTTTTTACATCGGTCTTTTTCATTTTTAGCTAGTAAACTTTGGAATGCGCTACCCCCTAGACTCAGAGAATCTCAAGATATTGTTTCATTCAAGCGTTCTCTTAAAGCCCACATGGCTTAGTGGTAGTGATTGTAAATATCGTTATTGTTAATATTGTTAATATTGTAACTTTTTATTGATAGCTCTTGTCCATGATCTTCGATCCTGTTTTTAGTTATTTAATAGATCTACTTATTATTTGTATTCTTACAGAAATTATGTTTTTTTTCTAATTGTACATACACGTACACGTTTTAACGAGAACTTCTGTACTCCTAGGTGTCACGCGTTTAAATAAAGGATTGATGATGATGATGATGATGAATACAGTTCGTTTGGTAAGTCCTACTAATTTGCCATCTTCTGATCGCGTGGAAGTGTTCCACAATCAAACATGGGGAACCATTTGTGACGACTCTTGGGACTTACAGGATGCTAATGTAGTCTGTCGCCAGCTTGGATACCATGAAGCGCTATCAGCACCCTAAGCTGCAGCACTTGGACTAGGAACTGGTCCGATATGGTTGGATAACGTTCAATGTGCAGAAAATGAGACATTGATATCGCAGTGCAGTCATTGAGGGTGGAGAATCCACTACTGTGGGCATGCTCAGGATGCTGGAGTGGTGTGTCGACCCACAGGTAAGGTAGGGATAAACCTGCAAAGTTGATACCTCACAATAAACAAATGTTTCTTTTTTCGCTCCTCGTCTAATTTTGTTTTCTACTGCATGTTACATGCAAAGTGACCTCGAGTAAACCCAGATACCTTTTCTTTGGCAGGAATTTTTGGTGTCCAACTTTTATTTCCTAGAAACTCCATTGCAATATCCATTAAATGAATTATAAATTGGGGGTTTCTTTTGGCTTAAAAACTATTTCACCATCGAAAACAAATTATTAGGCGAACCTTTACAATTTACCACTAGCAAACGTATTTTCTCTCCTTTATTCTCGAATTGATAACAGTTCGCTGAGTGAGCCCCCCTAAATTGCCATCTTCTGGTCGTGTAGAATTGTTCTACAACGGTACATGGGGAACCATCTGTGTTAACCTTTGGGACATCCAGGATGGTAATGTAGTATGTCGCCAGCTTGGGTATGATGGAGCTTTATTAGCGCTTGGATTTGCAGCATTTGGTCAAGGAACTGGTCCGATATGGCTGGATAACGTTCTATGTTTTGGAAATGAGAAATTGATATCGCAGTGCAGTCACCGGGGATGGGGTGTCTATTACTATGGCCATACCTGGATGCTAGTGTCGTGTATCAACTCCCAGGCAAGCTTCAATTACTTTTATACAATAGAGATTAAACCCCCTATTGTTCATGCTCTTTTTTCAAGTTTTTTTTTCCAATCGGATGATGCCACCAATGACCATATTCAAATTCATATTCAAATGTATATTCAAATTAGCATTGGTTTTGTTGTACTTTCTCAAACGGAAATTTCCAGTGATGCTAACTTCCGATTTTCTTTGCATCCCACCACTTCATGTGGTCAAATAAAATAACAATTACAAGGTTTTTATCGACTAAATAACTAATGGTCATAAAAACAACTGATGTGACGAGCCCTAATCATGTATTACTGCGCGTGGAAGTGTTACACAATCAAACATGGGGATCCATTTGTGACGATTCTATGGACTTACAGGATGCTAATGTAGTCTGTCGCCAGCTTGGATACCATGGAACCTTATCAGCACCTAAAGCTGCAGCACTTGGACAAGGAGCTGGTCCAATATGGTTGGATAACGTTCAATGTGCAGGAAATGAGACATTGATATCGCAGTGCAGTCATCGAGGATGGGGAATCCACTACTGTGGGAATGCTTAGGATGTTGGAGGGGTGGGTCGACCAATACGTAAGGTAGTAATAAGCCTGCAGAGTTGATAATTCATAATAAACAAACGTTCCTTTTTTTCGCTCCTCGTCTAAGTGAGTTTGAGTAAACTCAGATACCTTTTCTCCAGCAGGAATTTTTGATGATCTCCAAGTTTTATTTCCCAGAAATTCCATTGCACTATCGCTTAAAATGAATCAACAGTTAGGAGGTTTAGTTCGGCTTAAAAACTATTTCACCATCAAAAAACTTATTAGACTAACCTTTACAATGTACTACAAACAAACATATTCTCTTTTATTTATTTTTCAATTGATAACAGTTCGCTGAGTGAGCCCTCTTAACTTGCCATCTTCTGGTCGTGTGGAAGTGTCGTACAATGGTACTTGGGGAACAATTTGTGATTATTCTTGGGGTTTACTGGATGCTAATGCAGCATGTCGTCGCCAGCTTGGGTATGATGGAGCTTTATCAACGCTTGGATTTGCAGCATTTGGACAAGGAACTGGTCCGATATGGCTGGATAACGTTCGATGTTTTGGAAATGAGAAATTGATATCGCAGTGCAGTCACTG